CTGTGGCTCAAGTGGTAGAGCACTAGCCTTGAGCTGAAGAGCTGAGGGACAGCACCCAGGCCCAGAGTTCAGGCCCCAAGACCGGACCCAAAATAAATAAATTAATTAATTAAATTAAATAAATAGAAAACTGGTTAAGTGGAGATAAGAGTCTTGTGGATTTTCCTGTCCAGGCTGGCTTTGAACCATGATCCTCAGATCTCAGCCTCCTGAGTAGCTAGGATGACAGGCCTGAGCCACCAGCCTAGGCAGATTCTTAACTCCATTTCTATGGCCTGTAACTCCCGGGAACGGGTTGACTCAGTCAGCCCACCACCCATGGAGACAACCCCTCATGCCTGAGTCCAGGACCTTGTTTAAGCACTGCTGGGTACCGAGTTCTCAGTGAGGGTCCAGAGACCCTAGTCCTGGACTCAGCCCTGGGAAATCTCTTTTGTCCACCACAGAGGGCGTGTCTGAGCAGGACGGGGGCAGCACCCTGAAGCGGGCGGCCATCAGCAGGGAGGACAGCGGGGCCTACACGTGCTGGGCTGAGAACAGAGTGGGCCGTGTGCAGACAGTCAGCTTCGTCCACGTGAAAGGTAGGTGGGAGCCTGCGGGGCCTGTCCCGCGAGGCCTCCGCGTAGCCCAATGTATTGCTGTGCCAAGAAACCGCAGCCCCGTGCTCTGAGGAGTGGCTGTCCACCCCAGTTGTCCCCTGGGACACTTTGTAAAACCCAAGGACCAGTGTCCACACCCACTTCCATAAACCAGCCCCCCAGGGTGAGACTTCCGCTCAGCCTCGGGATGGGTAGGGTTTGAAGGAGCAAAAGAGCCACCCAGACCACCGAGACAGTCATAGCTCTCCCTGGATTTCACCTCAGCATCAGGAAGGGCGAGATCCAACACAGGGCATCCAACAGTCTATGAGATTGTCATGCACCACACGCACGCTCACGTGCACACACACACATACACACACCTATATATTCCCTGCCTTCCCAAGAACCCTGCAGGTGCTGTTGCAGCTAGTGAGATCTGTGAGAACTAATGCTGTGCATATATGCACATACATGTACGCAAGGCATGCGTGCATGCGCGCACACGCACACGCACACACACACACACACACACTGCATCACCTTCCATCCTGCTCCCGTCTCAGGCATCACTAATCAATCACCAACCAGCTTCAACTACGTCAGCTCAGTTCCCTGTGCTCGTGACCCATAAGGCAGCCATGCTGCTCTGGCAGGAGCCTCTGGAGGCCCCTGGACCCTGGGTGGCCTTTGGGAATGGATTTATGGAGGTTGAACCTCAAGGGAGCCTCTCTCCTGACGGCACCTTTCATGCCACCCCTTGCAGAAGCTCCTGTCCTGCAAGGCGAGGCCTTCTCCTACCTGGTGGAGCCTGTAGGGGGCAGCATCCGGCTGGACTGCGAGGTCCGAGGAGACCCGGCACCCGACATCCAGTGGACCAAAGATGGCCTTCCGCTGCCCAGCAGCCGGCTCCGTTTCGGGCTCCAGAACGGCTCACTGACCATCCGCAGAGCAGAGGCAAGGCGGGTGGGCCTGGCACTGGGCGGGGTCGTGGGGAATGGCCCTCTGCTCATAATCATGGGCCCCGTGAGTGTGGGGTGAGGGGGGGCAGGCGAGTTGCATCACGGGCAGGGGGTCACCCTGAGTTTTATGAGGGGGCAGGAGGTGCTTGGTAGACCGCGGAGGGTAAAGGTGGTGCCAGCCTAGCCAGGGCAGTCAGTAGGGCTTACGCGCTCATAGGTTAGCAGTGAGAAATCCTGAGACGGCCGGAGTGTGACCTGTGTGAGTCAGTAACGCCCTAAGATATGATGAGCAAGGGCAGGGTGGGCAGGCAGCAGCACCCCCATCTTAACAGGAGACACCAGGTTCAGAGTCATGCCCCGAGGCCCTCCGCACTCTGTCTCAGTGAGATGGGTCTTGGTCTGGTTGTCCCTCCACGCCCCGCTGCCCCGGGCTGCCCCTCCTCCTCCCTGAGCGCTCCCCTCCCTGCCCCCCCCCGTGCCACCTGCAGCTGGAGGACGCGGGACAGTACCAGTGCCTGGCCGAGAACGAGGTGGGCAGTGTGAAGAAGGTGCTGACCCTTGTGCTCCAGAGTGAGTCCAACACCCTCCCCTCCCTGGGCTCCTGTCCACAGCGGGATGGGGACAGCGGCCCTCAGGCTGCTCTGGCTGGTCACAAATCTTTTATTTGAAACCTATCGTAAAGTCTAGGACATGTAGGGTGAGACTCAGGGTTGGGTTCCCGAACTCACAGAAACCAGAGCACCAGGCCTAGAGGTGCTGATGACTCAAACCTCAGAAACACTCTCTGAGCCAGGTGGCTCCCGCCTGCATCCTCGCTACTCAGAAGGCTGAGATCTGAGGCACATACGAGTGTGTTGCTCACAACCTCCCAGGCTCTGCCACAGCCCTGGCGTTCCTGGTCGTGAGAGGTATGGGCTCTCCTGTACCCAGACCCTTCTCCACATCTGTCCTGACAGACATCACCAATCTACCCCCCCACACACACACATACATACACACAGTGTCAAAGCCAGCCCCGGCTGGAAAGTCCATGAGACTCTTATCTTCATTTAACCAGCAAAAATAAAACTGGGAGTGGAGTTGCGACTCAAGTGGTAGAGTGCCAGCCTTGAGTGAAAAAGCTCTGGGGCAGAGCCCAGGCCCCAAGTGTGCCGCAGGATCAGCACACACGCACACACACACACACACACACACACACACACACACACACATACAGATTTTGGAGGAGGCGGCACTTCATCTTCATGAACAACCAATTTGTCCTGGAATCCAAGCTTGGTGTAGCAGATCTCAGTCATCCCCAACAGTGGAATATGATATCCCCCCCCCACCCCGCAAAAAAAAAAAAGACTGCTTCCTGGCAGGCAGGGGTAGCAATGGTGGGACAGCGCGGTAGACACCTGTGTGCAGTGCGGTCATGGCCGTGCGTCCGTGCGTGCTGGGGATGTGTTCTGAGGAGGGGGTTGTGGTGACGTGTCATGGAAACATCCCGTGCACGCACAAGAGCTTGGACCGCTATGCCACACCCAGTGGTGTGATCGTACCAGAACACTGAGGTGCAAGCAGCCTGTCACAAAGCAAAACATCCTTACACGCACACAGCAGTATTTTTTGTTGTTGTTGTTGGTCGTGGGGCTTGAACTCTGGGCTTGTCCCTGCGCTCTTCAGCTCAAGGCAAGCACTGTACCGCTTGAGACACAGCGCCACTTCCGGTTTTCTAGTGGTTTATTGGAGATAAGAGTCTCACGGGCAGCTGGGCGCTGGTGGCTCACGCCTGTCATCCTAGCTACTCAGGAGGCTGAGATCTGAGGATCGCGGTTCAAAGCCAGCCCGGGCAGGAAAATCCACAAGACTCTTATCTCCACTTAACCAGTTTTCTATTTATTTAATTTAATTAATTAATTTATTTATTTTGGGTCCGGTCTTGGGGCCTGAACTCTGGGCCTGGGTGCTGTCCCTCAGCTCTTCAGCTCAAGGCTAGTGCTCTACCACTTGAGCCACAGCGCCACTTCCGGCTTTTTGCTTATGTGGTGCTGGGGAATCGAACCCAGGGCCTCATGCATGCAAGGCAAGCGCTCTACCACTGAGCCACCTTCCCAGCCCTGATGGAACACTTAAGTAGACAGTGGCTTGTCACTCCTAAGCTCCCAGTTGTGTCCCCTTCCAGGGTGGCTGGGTCCTGCGTGCACCTTCTCCCCTGCAGCCACCACGTCCTTCCCCATCCCCTAGAGGAAGCAGAGCTGTGGCTCAAATGGTACAGCACCAACCTCGAGGGGAAACAAGTGCATGAAGCCCTGAGTGCAAGCCCTGGGACTGGCACAAAAAGAAGAAAATGAAAAGAAAGAGAAGGAAGGATAGAAGGAAAGGGAGGAAGGAAGGAAAGAGAAGAAAAGAGAGGGAGGAAGAGGGAGAGATAGGAGGAGGAGGAACGGAAGGAAGGAAGAGGAGGAGGAGGAGGAAAGCAAAGCAGGTTTGGGTCATGGTCCTGTGTCCCTCCCGGACCCCGGATGTGGAGGAGAAATATCCCAGAAGCGCAGCTGACTTCATGCAACCTCAGGAAATGGGCACGCTTCCTAGAATCTGACATTAAGAAGCCCTGGTGTGGCCGTTTGGGATCCTGGCCGCGCCGTGGTTTGTGTTACTCGCTGACAGGCCATGGACAATTTGTTGCTAATTTCCCCTGAGAGCTGGCAAGCGGAGCCGCAGGCTGTCTTCTGTCTCTCTTCCCCTGGAATGCCAGTGGCCTGGAGGAGACAGATGGCCCCTCAGAGGGGAAGCGCAGGCCCCCTGGGCCTCCGTCCGATCTTTGATTAGTGCTTGAAAAGCATCTGCTCCTAGCCAGCCTGGCGACACCAGGACAAAACCCACCCCGGCCAGGCCAGCTGCGGGGCGCTGGAGCCAGGCTCTGGAGGAATGTAGATGTTGAGGTCATGGCGTCCAGCTCCTGGCTCCGTGCCAGGCCCTGCCACCGCGGCTCTGGGCATGATAGCGTCTGGTGGGTCTCCTGTGTGCCTTGAACCCCATCCCACCCCGCCTTCATGTCATAGATGAGCCCCCTTCGCGTAGCTTGGGGGCCTGACGCAGCCGGGCTTCAGCGCAGGGGATGGCAGAGGCAGACTCCACATTTGACTCCATCACCCACTGGCTGTGCGTCCTCGGGCATGATACTTTGCCTCTCTGAGCTTCAGTGTGGAGAGGATGCGTCCTAGTATTGTTCTCTTCTGCACACAGGGGCGCCCCAGGGGAGCCGGGGCAGCATGACTGGGGTGATCAACGGTCAGGAATTTGGCGTGGCCACTCTCAACACCAGCGTCCAACAGGAGGGGAGCTCTGGAGCCACCACCATCCACAGCAGCGTCAGCCACCTCCCAGCAAACGTGGGTCAGTGGGGTTCCCCGTGGGTGGACACCCGCCTGACAGGGGCGGGGGGAGGCAAAGGCTGTACCCCCAGGCTTCCCCGAGGCCCATGCCCCAGAAGATCCAACCGCCTCTAATGGACCAATTCAAGCCGCCTTGCACCGCTATGCGGGCGACTTCCTGTCCCGCCCCTACTCCCCCTCTCCCCCCAAGAAGCCACTGCATGTACAATCGGACCAGGAGAACACTGAAGTGAGCAGGATGGAGGGCCAGCAGGAGCTCAGAAACACGAGCTGAAGGCCCGGATGGTTCCGGGAGGGTCTGGAACTCCTCCATTTCCAGCCAGAGTTTTTTGGCTTTTTTCAAAGCCAGTGGTTTGGAACAATTTTCCTCTCCCGGGCTCTTCTGGAAGTTGTCTGCAAGTCAGGAAAGCTTGGTTGCTTTTTCTTGTTGTTGTCGGTTGTGGGGCCTGAACTCTGGGCCTGAGCACTGTCCCTCAGCTCTTCAGCTCAAGGCTAGCGCTCTACCACTTGAGCCACAGGACCACTTCTGTCTGGCTTTGTTTTTCTGCTTATGTGGTGCTGAGGAATCAAACCCAGGGCCTCATGCATGCAAGGCAAGCGCTCTACCACTGAGCCACCTTCCCAGCCCAACTTGGTTGATTGTTAACTCAGTTCAGCCAGTCTCTACAGACAGGCTGTAGCGTCCCAGACCCACAGTAACCCCGCCACTCTTTTTCTGTATTAGCTGAACTTAGCTGAGTGCCAACAAATTACATGCATTCCCTCTTGCAGACTCATTCTATTAACAGTCACAGTTGGAATATAGGTTGGACTTTGCCATTTCCCAGGTTCTGATTAAATAAACTACTTCAAAGCCAGGCACCAGTGGCTCACGCCTGTCATCCTAGCTACTCAGCAGGCTGAGATCTGAGGATCACGGTTCAAAGCCAGCCTGGGCAGGAAAGTCCATGAGACTCTTATCTCCAAAAGAACCACTCAGAAAACCGGAAGTGGCGCTATGGCTCAAGTGGTAGAGCGCTCGCCTTGAGCTGAAGAGCTGAGGGACAGTGCCCAGGCCCAGAGTTCAAGCCCCACGACCGACAAAAAAATTAACACTAAAAAAATATATAAACTACTTCAGGCCGCCCCAAGGCTGAGCTTTCCTGGAAGGTAGTAGGAGGCCACAGACGCCTAGGCCTCTGCTAGCCTGGCCTCTGTACGCAGGACCTCTGCTGCGGACTCTGGTGGTCGCCATCTCCCCCGTCTACTGGGCGCTGGCTGGCGAGAGAGGAGCGGCCCTCAATGGCCACTCCCTGACAGGTGGCCACTTCCAGCAGGATTCCCATGTGGAGTTTGCTACAGGTGAGCGGGGGTCCTCCCCCCCCCCCCCGGAGGCCGGGGCCTGAACCCGGGGCCTCTCCCCAGCTGACCGCAGGCGGGGCCTGGATTGCAGGGGAGCAGGTGGTGCTGACCCAGGCGGCTCAGGGCCTGGATCCCCAGGGGTTCCTGCTTCTGGATGTGGCAGTCCAGGGCGCTGTTCCCGAGAGCCTGGCCGAGGCGGAGCTTGTCCTGCAGGTGGGCCTTCCCATCCCCCCCTCCGGGCCCTCCCCTCCTGACCCCCCTCCCACCCCCCACCCCCCCACAGACGGGGGTGCACGGTCATGGCGGGAAGGGAGGGCTCCCCTTGGACTTGGGTTCCACTAGCAGATGGTCATAAATCCCAACTGGGGTTCAGAGACAGCAGATTAGAGCCGGGACCTGCCCCGGGGCCTCTCACTCCACCCCTGGAGTCCCCAACTCCAGGCCCCACGCTCCCCATGCTGCAGGACTTTGAGGAGCGCTACGTGCAGACGGGCCCTGGCCAGCTGTTTGTGGGCGCCACGCAGCGCTTCCTCCACGACGGCCAGCGCGCGGCCCTGCGCTGCAACCACAGCATCCGCTACGCCAAGGCCCGCGGGCCCCAGCCGCGGCTGGTGCAGCACCTGTGGGCCTCCCGCCTCAGCTCGGCCTTCGACCCCGAGGCCCAGGCCCTGCGCTTCCAGCTAACCGCAGCCCTGCAAGCCGGTGAGCCGCCCTGTCTGCACCCCCCCCCCAGGCTCTGGCTAAAAGCTCCCAGGGGCCCAGACGCAGCTGGCTGACTTGCACCCCCACCCCAACTCAGGGGCTGGCCTCTCCCTCCTCCCCACCCCCCACTCCATAGGGACGCAGCTCTTCAGCTGGCTCCGGGCCAAACCTCAGAGCCATTCCCCGGGGCCTCAAAGGGATGGCCCAGCCCCCTGCCCCCACCCCTCAGGCTGGTGTTCAAGTCCAGCCACACCCCATACTCCATTCCCATGGGTCCACTTAGGAGGTCCCCCCCCCCCGCGGAGCTCCTGGAGGCCCACCTGAACCCACCCGAGGTCTCAGTCTATGAAAGCTACTCGGGTATCAGCATTACGTGAGATTCCCACAGGCTCTAACATTGAAAAGAATAGAGCTGAGAGGTCGGGTTCAAATCCCACGTGCCTGGCTGTCCAGCTGTGGGGCCCTCGGGGCAGGGCCGTGGCCCTCCCTGGGCCTGTTTCTATCTGCATGTGAACGAGATGTGTCCAGCCTCCCAGGATGGGGGACAGTTCAGGTACTGCCACTAAACCCCACAAAGACTCCGGGAGCCAGTGGCTCACACCTGTCATCCTAGCAGCTCAGGAGACTGAGATCTGAGGATTGCGGGTCAAAGCCAGCCTAGGCAGGAAAAGTCTGTGAAACTCTTATCTCCAGTGAACCACCAGAAAACCAGAAGTGGCACTGTGGCTCAAGTGGTAGAGCACTCACCTTGAGCTGAAGAGCTGAGGGACAGCGCCCAGGCCCAGAGTTCAAGCCCCACGACCAGCACACACACGTGCACACACACACACACACACACACCCCACACACACAGAATTCTACACATGTGACATTCCATTAGCTACCTTTTATTTTGTTTTGTTTTTGGTGCTTGTACTGGGGCTTTTTTTATTTTATTTTTGTGTATTTTTTACTCAAGGCTGAAGCTCCACCATTTGAGCCATAGCTCTACTTCTGGCCTTTTGCTAGTTAGAGATAAAAGTCTCACAAACTTTTTGGCTCAGGCTGGCTTCAAACTGAGATCTTCAAATCTCAGCCTCCAGAGTAGCCAGGATTACAGGCGTGAGCCGCCACGCCTCTTGCTTTCTACTTCTTGCTAGGGTTTCTCGGAGTGGGCCTGGCTCCGGGGACACACTTACACAAGTGTGCATGTCCTCCGGCCATCACCTGTGACAGGCTTGGGTGCAGTGTCCCCCTGACCCCAGCTGGGCTCAGGACAGGGCCTGAACACGCCTACCTGGGGCCACTACCTGCACAGCCCATGGAGGCCAAGGTGGCCTGGGGAGGGAGCTTCGTGCCCTCAGGACCATTTTCTTTCCCTTGCAGAGGAGAATGATGCTGGCTGCCCAGAGGGCTTCGAGCTGGACCCCCGGGGCGCGTTTTGTGCGGGTGAGCACCCCACCTCCAACCCCAATTCTGGCACCAACAAGGGAAATCTCCAGCCTGGTATGCACAGACTGTGAGCACAGACCCCGCCTCTCTCCCTGCCCAGACACGGACGAGTGTTCGGGGGTCCCCAGCCCCTGCTCCCACAGCTGCCACAATGCACCTGGCCGCTTCTCCTGCTCCTGCCCGGAAGGCTTCGCCCTGGCCTGGGATGGCAGGAGCTGCAGGGGTGAGTGGCCAGGAGAGGCGGCGCTCCAACATGGCCTGGGTGTCCAGCAGGGCTTCCAGACCCAGGGGACAAACGTTCCACTCCTGACGGCATCCACGGCCGCCGGGGAGCCCAGGCATCATCTGGAGCTCACATCGGAAGCTGCAGGCTGGGGTCCTCTGGTCTCTTGATGCGCTGTGCATAGAACGCAGAATGGCAGACAGGAGGCAGGAAGGGGAGGGGGGAGGAGGACGGGGGGGGGCCCTGTGCTCCTCACCCAGGATGAACCCCGTGTGGGTGAGCCAGGCAGGGGCAGGGGCCGGGGCTGTGCGCTCCTGCAGCTGTCCTCCTGCTCTGCCTCCAGATGTGGACGAGTGTGCGTGGGAGGCCCACCTCTGCCTGGAGGACCAGCGCTGCGTGAACCTGCTCGGCTCCTACCACTGCCTCCCCGACTGTGGGGCTGGCTTCCGGGTGGCGGCTGACGGGGCCAGCTGTGAAGGTGACAGGGTCTTTCCTTTCTGTGCCTTGGGTCATCTGCTCATGAAAGGGGGGTGAGCAAACAGAAGCCACCTCTGCTGCCCCTCCCCTCCCCCTGCCCTGGGTCAGGGCCCAGCCTTGGGACACCCAGCTGTCGCTGTGGATCAGCTGACCTGAGGCTGAACCCTAGGTGCCACTGCTGGGTGGATGACCCTTAGGATCCTCCTGACCTAGCATCCTGTAGTGTCAGGATGAAGGCCTCCTGGCTCCTTGGGGACAGGCCAAGGGAGGAGAAGCTCGGTGGCCTTGAACTCAGAAGCCAGTCCTCCTCCATGCCTCTCAAGCTGGGGGGTGGACAAGAGCTAGTAGGCAGGAACAGTGGATGAGGCCCAGGTGTGGAGGGGGTGGTACATGCCCCAGGTGGAGGGGCTTTATAGAAAGCCCCGCCCTGACCACACCTACCTCTGATGTAGAAGGGGAGGAGCCCTGGGGAAAGCCCCACTCTGACCACACCCACCTCTGATGTAGAAGGGGAGGAGCCCTGGGGAAAGCCCCACCCTGACCACACCCACCTCTGATATAGAAGGGGAGGGCCCTGGGGAAAGCCCCACCCTGACCACACCTACCTCTGATGTAGAAGGGGAGGAGCCCTGGGGAAAGCCCCACTCTGACCACACCCACCTCTGATGTAGAAGGGGAGGAGCCCTGGGGGAAAGCCCCACCCTGACCACACCCACCTCTGATATAGAAGGGGAGGGCCCTGGGGAAAGCCCTACCCTGACCACACCCACCTCTGATGTCGAAGGGGAGGAGCCCTGGGAAAAGCCCCACCCTGACCACACCCACCTCCCCAGATGTGGATGAATGCTTGGAACAGTTGGACGAGTGTCACTCCAGCCAGCTCTGTGAGAACACTGCAGGCAGCCACCATTGCAGCTGCCCCCGGGGGTACCGTCTCCAGGGCCCAGGCCTGCCCTGCCTAGGTATGGGGCCGCCCAGGACCCTGCTCAGCAGCCCTGGCTCGGGGCAGGGGTATTCATGGCAACCATGAGTGCTGAAAGTGACCATAGTGACAGCAGAGACCAGCTATGCTCACCAGGACCCCATCTCTGCTGTACCCCAGCCCAGCCCCGAGGGGTCACTGAGCGGGCCTTGGAGAAGCAAGGAGGGAGGGTGGAAATGGCCTGATCGATGCCTGGGGCCCAGGGCTGGGCACCCAGCAGGGAAAGTGGGTCTCAGAGTGGGGAGCTGGGGTCTGAGGGAAGGCTGGTGAAGAGGCGCCCGCCCCCCGCAGGCCAGCCTGGAGCCCTGTGTTGTGTGAGGCGCTGGCTTCCCGGGAGGCATGGGCTGGAAAGGCTGGCATGGCCGGGCTGCAGGAACTCTGAGCTAGTCAGGCACTGGTGACTCCAGAGGTAGAGCGCTGAGGAACATGGTTCAAAACCAGCCCAGAAAAAAAAATCTGGGGCTGGGAAGGTGGCTCAGTGGTAGAGTGCTTGCCTTGCATGCCTGAGGCCCTGGGCTCATTCCTCAGCACCACATAAGCAAAAGGAAAAAAGCCGGAAGTGGCACTGTGGCTCAAGTGGTAGAGCGCTAGCCTTGAGCTGAAGAGCTGAGGGACAGCGCCCAGGCCCAGAGTCCAGGCCCCAACCTGGAGCAGAAAAAGCCAAGTAAGAGTTTGAGGGCCTGAGTTCAAGCCCCAGTACTGACCCCTTCACCTATCACAGAGAGAGAGAGAACCCTGAAGCTGGGTTCCAGTGGCTCACCCCTATAATCCCAGCTATTCAGGAGGCTGAGATCTAAGGATCACAGTTCAAAGCCTGGGCACAAAAGCCCATGAGACGCTTCAATTCACCACTGAAAAGTCAGAAATGGAGCTGTGGCTCAAATGGTTGAGTACTAACCTTCAGCAAAAAAGTTCAGGGACAGTGTCCAGGTCCTGAGTTCAAGCCCCAGGACTGCTACCAAAAACAAAACAAAACAACAAAAAACAACTCTGAGCCCCCGCTGCCCCCTGCCCCTTCCCCTCCGCAGATATCAACGAGTGTTTGCAGCTGCCCAGGCCCTGTGCCCACCAGTGCTACAACCTCCAGGGCGGGTACCGCTGTCTGTGCCCGCCGGGCCAGGCTCTGCTGTGGAACGGCAAGGCCTGCGTCCCGCTGGAGCAGAGCGAGCAGAACGTGACCACCGTCAGCCATCGGGGGCCCTTGGTGCCCTGGCTGCGGCCTCGAGCCCCAGCCCCAGGCGGCGCCTACCATGCCTGGCTCTCCCTCCGGCCAGGTGAGGGAGCCCTGAGCAGCCCAGGCCGGGCCTGGTGTCCCCCTGGCTTCATCAGGCAGAACGGCGTCTGCACAGGTAAGGCGGATCACCCCACCTTCGCTCGCCCCTGAGCCTGGGGCTCGGGGCTCACAGGCCAGCGTGGGGTGCCTGCTTCCTCCATGGAGGTGCTCGGCCTTGGCTGTGCAGGTACTCGGAGTAAAACAGGGAGGGCCAGAATGTTCCAGATAGTGATGCTGGAGTGAAGAGGGACTGGCAGGAACACAGACTTAGGGTCAGGAGAGCTCCTGGAGCTTAAAGCTGCACAGGGTGACAGGGGACAAAGCAGAGGCAGCCTGCCTGGCTCCAGGGGCTGTCGGGGGAGAGGGGGGCTGCCTGGAGCCCCAGGTCATACAAGGTGAGGCCTCCCATCTCCCCAAGCTCGGGGACTTGTGGCGCAGGGGCTGAGTGCGGCAGGCTGGCGAGCAGGCGGCTCCCCGCAGGGACTTTCTGGCCTGCCCCAGAGCCCGTGGGCAGGCGTGTGTGTGACTCAGCGTGTCTCTGCCCCCCTCCCTGCCCCGGCCAGACCTCGATGAGTGCCGAGTGCGGAGCCTGTGCCAGCACGCCTGCCGCAACACCGAGGGCAGCTACCGGTGCCTCTGTCCCTCCGGCTACCGCCTCCTCCCCAGCGGGAAGACCTGCCAGGGTGAGCGGTGCCCAGCAACCCCCCAGACCCCAGCTAGGTGTGGCCCACAGGCCACGCGGGCAGACTCAAAGCTTCCCTCCAGGGCCAGTCTAGCTCTGCTGTGGGTCTCTAGGAAACTTCCTCTATCTCTCTGAGCCTCAACTTTCTAGGGGTTCACACAGTCACACTGCACCCCTGCAGATGGCTGAAGTGAGGCCTGAGAAGATGGGCGTCCCTGATCTTTTTTATGCTCAAGGCTGGCACTCTACCACTTGGGCCACAGTTCCACTTCTGGCTTTTTGCTGGTTAACTGGAGATAAAAGAATCTCATGAACTTTCCTGCCCCAGCTGGGACTTCAAACCACTCTCCTCAGACCTCAGCCTCCTGAATAGCTAGGCTTACAGGTGTGAGCCAGGTGTGCGGCTGGTGGCAATCTTTTTTGGTGGTGGTGGTGGTGATGGTCGTGTGGCCTGAACTCTGGTCCTGGGCGCTGTCCCTCAGCTCTTCAGCTCAAGGCTAGCGCTCTACCACTTGAGCCACAGAGCCACTTCCGGCTTTTTCTGCTTCTGTGGTGCTGAGGAATCGAACCCAGGGCCTCATGCATGTGAGGCAAGCACTCTACCACTGAGCCACCTTCCCAGCCCATGATGGCAGGCTTAATGTCCTCCAACCCCCATGTCGGGTCTGCTTTTCCCGATGCACACGGGGTACAGGCTGGAGCTGTAGGCACAGACGCAGCGGGCCCCATCGGCTGGGTGCCCTTCCTGTCTCCCCCTCCCTCTGCCATGGGGTCAGTGGATGGCCCCCACTCTCTACTCTTCTCCCAACTCCTGCCAGGCCCCAGGGGGATGGGAGGGGCTGCCCAGCGGGTCCTCTAGCCCCTGCTGCTTCACCCCTGCCTTCCCCCCCTGGCTCCCCGGTGGTCCATCCCCCCATCTCCTGCCACACCCTCGCCAGACATCAACGAGTGCGAGGAGGAGCGTGTGGAGTGCGGGCCCGGCCAGATGTGCTTCAACACCCGGGGCAGCTTCCAGTGTGTGGACACGCCGTGCCCCGCCACCTACCGGCAGGGCCCCAGCCCCGGGTAAGGGCCGAGCCGGACAGGACGGGAGCCAGGGGTGGCACATTGTCTGCCAGGGGCTGTGTGGGCCAGCGGGACCCCCTCCCCCACCCCAAGGCCTCCCAGGGCTCCAGGAGGCCATGGGTCACCACCCCTGGGCCTGGGGGTTGGGGGGCAGCCTTGTGCCACGCCAGGGTCCAGCGCCCCTGACGCCGCCTTCCCTGGTGGAGGGGGGGGTGCAGGTAGCTGTGCATAGAGAACTGGGGCTCAGAGGGGAACAAACGAGCTTGCACACACATGTGCATGCACACACACCCCAACCAGAGATGTCCCTGAACCCCAGGCCTGGCAGAGGTTCTGTGGCCACTGGAAGTCTTTCCCAGCGGGCCTGGGGGCTTAACTGAATTTTACAATCTGGAGAAGAGGGGGAGGGAGAGAGGGTGGGAGGGAGGGAGGGCTGGGCAAGGCTGAACTCGAGTCTTAGAACTCCACCCCCGCACTGCAGACATAGTGGATGACTCAGTTTCCCCAGGAGGACCTGGGGGAGGGGGCTCTGAGCGGCTTGCTTTGGGGATAGAGCGCACGGTGGGGGTAGGGACAGTGCGGGGCTCTGCGGGGCTGGCGGCGCTCGGTGGGAAAGGAGGGGGCGCGGGGCTGCAGGGCGCAGGCGAGGTCTGATGGGGTGGCACTGCTCCCCCCGCCCCCGGCCCCGGGGCTCCTTCTGTCTGTGTCTCGTCCGTCTGTCCGTCCGTCCATGCGTGCAGGACCTGCTTCCGCCGCTGCTCGCAGGACTGCAGCGCCCAGGGCGCGTCCACGCTGCAGTACCGGCTGCTGCCGCTGCCGCTGGGCGTGCGCGCGCGGCACGACGTGGCCCGCCTGGCCGCCTTCTCCGAGGCCGG